CTCATCCACTCCATCTTGCTGAGGTTGAAGACTCTCTTTTTGTGAGAAGACCGAGGCAAAGAAGGCATTAAGTAGTTCTGCCTTTTCCCTATCCCCTGTCAGCATTGCCCCATCTTCTCCTCGAAGAGGTCCTATCTCCTCCTTGTTTTTCCTTTTTCTACTGACATAAGAAAAGAAGCCCTTTTTATTGTTTTTAATGTCCCTGGCAAGCCTGAGCTCGTTTTGTGCTTTAGCCTTGCGGACCTTTTCCCTACAGGTGTTGGCTATTTGTTTGAATTCTTCTTTGGTGATTTCTCCCCTTTTCCACTTCTTGTGCATGTCTCTTTTGTGTCTTAGCACAGTTAGAAGTTCTTTGGACATCCATTCTGGCTTCTTTGCACTTGTCCTATTTTTTCTCTTTGTTGGCACGGTTTGCAATTGCTCCTTGAGTATTTCACTCTTGAGAAATTCCCATCCATCCGTAACTCCCTTGTCTTTTAGTATCTGTGTCCACGGAATGCTGCTCAGCGTTTCCTTCATTTTTTTGAAATCAGCTCTCCTAAAGTCCAAAATGCGGGTTTGACTTGTCTTAGTTTCGGCCTTCCTTTGTACCTCGAGAAGTACTTGAAATAAATAATAATAATAATAATAATAATAATAATAATTATTATTATTATTATTATTGTACCCTGTCTCCATCTACCCAAAGGGACTCGGGGCAGCTTACACATAAGAAAAAATTTACACAGAACATCAAAGCAGAACAGCCCATTAAAAACAAAAAACAAAAAAACAATTAAAATAAAACATAAGAAAGCTTAACAATCAGATAAAAACACAACCAATTAAAGCATAAAGGTATCAAACATAACAAAGCATAACAATCAGATAAAAGCACAACCAAATAAAACATAAAGGTATAAACAGCTGGCTTAAAACTCACTCAAACAATACACAACAAAAAACCAATAACCAGAAATACTAAGTTGGGCATGATCAGGCTATAAAAGGACCAGATAACCAGGTTTTCAGATCCCTACAAAAGGAGGACAGTGTAGGGGCTTGCCTAGTCTCCCTGGGAAGGGTGTTCCAAAGTCAGGGGCCACTACCGAGAAGGCCCTCTACCTTGCACCTACCAGCCATGCTTGTGATGATGGTGGGAGCGAGAGGAAGGCCTCCCCAGTAGATCTTACAACCCGCATTGGTTCATAAGGGAGATGCAGTCATGAAGATTGTTGCACACCAGGGCTGGAGATGCAGCTTTGAACCCAAAACCACACCAGAGTTCTTATAAGCAAAGCAGTTTATTGAAGATTGATATAGCTTTAGCCAAAAGGATAAAATATTTATAAAAAGGTAATAGTAAAATGTCCATAAAAACAGTCAGTTAAACAAGGTAAATAATCCAGTCAGCATCAAAGTCAGAAACCAGGAAGGTCCCCAAAGTCCAGTAAACAAATCCACAGGAACTAGACACTGTGAGTCCAAAATAGTCCAAGAAATCAAAGTCCCACAAGGATAAAGGATCAAACTTGAGCAATTAAATCCAAAGGCATGAACATGGATCCAAGGCAGGAAACATACAGGAATCTCAGCATGAACAGGAAGACATGAACACAAGGCATGACGCATAAGACATAGTTGCACTTCAAATCCAAATGTTGGTCTCACTAAAGATTACAGTTTCATACTATTTATTCACAAAGCCATGTCAAAAGCATTCCATTTCCCTTGGGAAACCTCTCCCTGAACCCTTTTCTCTCTCAATCTTTCTGATCGCCTCCTCCCTATTTCCAGGTGGCGATGTTGATATATCTGACTCCTTCTGTCAAAGACTGTCTCCGTCGGTTTGCCAATTACTGCAATCCTTTCACATTCCGACCTTGATTGTTCAAAAGTTCCCTCAACCTCCTTGTCTGTCTGCACAAAAGCATCTTTGGCCTGCTGGCTAACTATCCCAGAATCCTTAGTTTCACTCTGGCTAACAGCACTCTCTTGACCAACATCCCCATTTCCAAACCCCCGAGAGACAGCAGGAACTTGATCATTTAACTCAGGCATTGAAACCTCTGCAGAACCTTGATCATTTCCTTCCGAACCTTGAATATTTACCTCGGGAGCCTGAGGCAAAGAAACAATTATAAGCTGATCCCCTACAAAGATAGGTGGGGCGCAAACCATTTAGGGTTTTGTAGGTCATAACCTGCACCTTGAATTGGGCCCAGATACTTATCAGCAGCCAGTGGAGTTGCTTTAATAGGGTCGTCCCTATAATTAGCTCCAGTTAGAAGCCTGGCTACTGACCTTTGCACTAATGGCAGTTTCCGGGCCATCACATAGATTGTGTTGCAGTAATCCAACCTGGATCTAACCAAGGCATGGACCACTGTGGCCAAGTAGGACTTCTTGAGATACAGTTGCTGATGGTGCACAAGCTTTAATATTCCAAATATTTCTGTTTCACTCCCCCCTGAACCAAGCTAGTTTCTGGAAAAGAAAGGGGAGGTGGAAAGAAAAAAGAGAAAGATACGGTGTTGTGACTCTAATTGCTATTAGCCAATTTCCAACATTTCCATTGTCAAGAGATCAATGCTTCTCATGCAGAGTAGAATTGGTTCGCCAAACCTTATGCCTTTCAGTCTCCCTGGAGTACAGTTATCCATAACAAGTTCACAAGTGGGTTTCCATAATTGTTTAATTAACGGACACCGTGAAGAAAATGCCCTTTAAGAATTACTATGCTCAGCAGTGTGAGCAGGTTGTATAATTGCAGCGCACAGTTAGATCTGACTTAAGGCTACTATTTAAAAGGTTTTGCTACTATCAGGAGCTGTAATACCACATATCATTATTTAGCTGGAACCTCACTAAACTGCATTTCCCAGGGTTCCATAGCATTGAGCCGCTGCACTGACACAAACATGGATTGCAGCATTTGCTTAAAGGGTAAGAGGCAGTCCCAAGTGCATTGTGCACTCACCTATTCTTGTATCCTAACCTCCCCTTTCCAGAAACATACTTTAAACCAGCATCTATCTGCATTTCCCATTTATCCACATGTGCAGGATTAAGGCTTTCCATGTGATCTTTCTAAGATAAGGGGGCAGCCAGATTAATAACTTCATCATAGTGGCCATCAGAATTACCACAGGCTGTGGTGAACCTGGCAGTGCCAAGCGGGGTGGGGGGGGGGGTGGGGATCCATCGTGCCATGCCCCACATTGCCCTACTTCCCCCAGTTGATCTCTATGTAACATGGAAAGTCTCCCATCTTGCCTCCACAGCTGCATACACCGAAAATAGTGCTATGTTGTGGGATGGGAACTGGCTGGCTCCGTTGCAAAATGGAAGGTCAACTGGAATATGCCACCGAAAAGTACCCCATCTGATGAGGTTATAAGCAGCTTTCCCTGAGTTAAACCAGACTTGCCTGTGTACCTTTGGTAGCCACCCACAAGCTATTTATTTGTCGTGTTAGATCAACCAGTCAATTATATTACATTTCTAACAGAACAAAGCAAACAAACAGACAAAATACAAAATTTGTGAGTTTGGTAGTTGATTAAATGTCCTTTGACCAGTATCTGGCCACTTGGAGTGCTTCTGGTGTTGCTGCAAGAAGGTCCTCCATTGTGCATGTGGCAGGGCTCAGGTTGCATTTCAGCAGGTGGTCAGTGGTTTGCTCCTCTCCACATTCACATATCGAGGATTGCACTTTGTAGCCCCATTTCTGAAGGTTGGCTCTGCATCTTGTGGTGCCAGAACGCAGTCTGTTCAGCGCCTTCCAAGTTGCCCAGTTCTCTGTGTGCCTGGGGAGGGGGGGGGGGAGTCTCTCATTTGGTATCAGCCATTGGTTGAGGTGCTGGGTTTGAGCCTGCTACTTTTGGACTCTCGCTTGCTGAGGTGTTCCAGCGAGTGTCTCTGTAGATCTTAGAAAACTATTTCTAGATTTAAGTTGTTGACGTGCTGGCTGATACCCAAACAGAGGATGAGCTGGAGATGTCTCTGCCTTGGTCCTTTCACTATTGGCTGCTACTTCCCGGTGGATGTCAGGTGGTGCAATATCAGCTAAGCAGTGTAATTTCTCCAGTGGTGTAGGGCACAGACACCCCATGATAATGCCCACAGGCTGATGTGCACTTACACTGCCCTAAATGGTCAGTGTAGATGGAACCCAAGAGGCTGAAATTTTGGTGGACCTACATTGCTATATAATCTAGTTTCTGAATCCAGATTATCTGCTTTATACCAGATTATATGCTTCTACACTGCCATTTGATCTAGTTCAAAGCAGATAATCTGGATTCAGAAATTATCTGGCATTGTAGATGGAGCCTTTGAGGCTCAGGCTACCAACCTCATGTAGGGAGCTTAGTACTAGCCTGGACCAAAGGAATCTAGACTCCCAGTTCTCATGAGTATCCAAGGAGCCAGAACTTCCATCTGTATTGTGTTATGAAGTTATTTTATATATTTTATGAAGTTGCTTTTTGTCTTCTGTTCATCTCTGTATTATTATTATTATTAGTCATGCCAATCTTATTTCTGATGATTACTGATTGAGTTTGGTTCGATATAGTTTTAATGCTGTTTTTATACTTTGTTGTTTTTAATCGTGCTATAATTGGACTGTTATATGTTGTTATGTTTTTCAACTGCATTTTTACTTTTGTAAAATACAATTTTGTTGTATGCCTTGGGCTTGGTCCCACCTGTAAGCCCCCCCCCCCGAGTCCCCCTGAGGAGATGGTGGTGAGGGATAAAAATAAAGTTGATGTTGTTGTTAATATCAATATTATGTCTTACATTAACCTTGGCTATACTTGGTTTAGGCTGGTGACCCTCAGTAATTTCAATCAGCCCTCAGAAATAAGATGTGTTGGTGAATGCAGACCCGCAGAGTTCCACTTTTAAACCATATTCTGTTTCTGTTTATTACTTTTGATTCCTGTAAGAATCTTCCAAAGTCCATAAGGTTAATGATGGCAAGCCACTGCAAAAAATTTTTGTCTGCTTTTCAGGATCTCCCCAGATGGTGTAGACATTGTCCTGGATTGCCTTTGTGGAGAAAATACAGGCAAAGGTCTCAGTCTTCTCAAACCACTTGGGACTTACATTTTATATGGTAAGTAAAAGCCTAACAGAACCCCCAGTGGTGCAGCAGGTTAAACCGCTGAGCTGCTGAACACTGGCCAAAAGGTTGGTGGTTCAAATCCAGGTAGCAAGATGAACTCCTGCTGTTAGCCCCAGCTTCTGCCAACCTAGGAGTTCAAAAATATCCAAATGTGAGTAGATCAATAGGTAATGGCACTCCATGTAGTCAGATCTGATCCTAGATTATTTGCTTATCCCATATTATCTGGCACTGAAAATTCATATAATCCAGTTCAAAGCAAATAATCTGGGATCAGATCCTGAGATATAGGACAGTGTAGAAGGGGCCTAAGAGATATGCCCTGACGTGCCCAAGGACCAACTTAGAGTAGTCATTCTCATTTGGTCATTCTTTGGTATTGATGCACTATGACGCACGATGTGGAAAAGTGGTGGTCCCTGTAATTGCATCATTCACTGTAGATCCTTCACTGAGCAGTGGGGTAGACTATGGGCCTTATCAGAAAGACCAGGTGAAGCATCCCACTTTGCCTGGCTTTGCCAAGAAGAGAGGAGCAGCGGGATGAATCCTGCTTGGCAATGCTTGCTTTCCTCATAAAGTGGGGAAAGAGTTGCCCTCCAGCAAGGGCCCGTGTTGTGGGGGAAGTGACCAATGTCGCTTCCTCCCCAGTTGGAGGCGGGGCCTCTGCCAGAGGTCACACAACATCATGTGATGTGCAACATGGGGCTCCATCTCCAAGAAGGGTGGAAGGTTGCTAAATTCCCCCTGTTTGATGAGGTTGTAAGTAGCCTCCAAGGTGTCTTCCAACTCCAGTAGTATTGCCACATCTCAATGCCTGCTTTGAGGCTCCAGGGTTCATGGATTATTCCCAGGTGGGAGATGAAAATACAAATTCTCTAGTTTGGGTAGACTGATCAAGAAGAAAGAACTGTACGCAAATCTCCAGTTCATTTAGGAGAGCCCAAGCTTGCTACAATTTCCAAATTTCTTTTATTATTATTTTTTTGCTGCAACTTGGAAAGACCCACAAAGTGGCCTATGAATTTATACTTAGCAACATCCTTGCCTCCTAATCATTGTAGCTCTTGGACTCACCCTCTTCTCCATTCTGTATCCACCTTTGGGTAAATTGTTATCGTGTGACATTAAGGACCTCATCACATGGATGAAGTCCAGGGCTGTGTGATTGTGTGAGTGATGCCACCTATATGTAGAACTGGTAGTTGCAAGATTTAAGCTGTTGTATCATGCTTAATCCTGCCTTTTTACCCTGCCTATGTATAGTTGGATTGATTGGTTATTTATAGCTGTCAATCAATGTTGTTTGCACCAGTTATATTGCTGCCTCAGCTCAATTGTTTGGCTCCACCTCTTCCTGGAGAAAGGGAGTGCTTTCCTTTTCCATTCCACCATCAGACTTTATATCAGATGGTCGTGAGAAAGAGACTTGGCTCTAAAAGCCCCTGATTAAGTTACCTCTCAGCACCAATTCTGAGGTTCTAACCCTTGAGACTTATGCTTCATGTTCAGATCAACCTGGATGATGTTGAGAAGTCTCAAGCGCCTTCAAACCAGTTCTTTGGCACCAGAGGAAGGCTTTGTGCCTTCAAAATATAGGCCATTGGAATAGGGGTTGTGGATTGCTCCGGCATTCACAGCCATTGAGAAAGAGGGACCTGGAAAAGCTTCTCAGCTACAAAACTCCTTGGACCCAAGACAACCAGAGACTGCAATGTATATTTTCCTTTACCCCTTTGAAACTTCCAGCTTATTGCCTTAAAGGAATAACTCTTTGTGAACAATAAAACCTATTTTGAGTTATCTACAGTGTTTTGGTCCTTGGGAGTTCCAGTTTTCCTAAAGGAGGGCAAGAAGCAATCCCATGGGGAAAGATGTCACATCCATGCCTCTTTCACTAAGAGTTATAGCCCCCAGGCGCGACGGCACAGGCTGTGATTCCCCAGCCTCCATGGCGAATCATGGCAGCAGCGGGACAGCGGTGGGGCAATCCTGGAGCCCCGGGTGCCAGCTGATGCTTCCCCATCCCATGTGGGGAAGCATTGCTACTCTGCAAAGCCCCGTTGCTCCTTAAGGAACATGGGGCAGCTTCTGTTTTGGTGCTGACAGTATCCCACCACTCTACTGCGGTGGCGCAGGGGGTTAAACCTCTGTGCCAGCAGGACTGAAGGTCACAGGTTCGAATCCGGGGACAGCGCAGATGAGCTCCCTCTATCAGCTCCAGCTCCTCATGTGGGGATATGAGAGAAGCCTCCCACAAGGATGATAAAACATCAAAAACATCCGGGCGTCCCCTGGGCAGTGACCTTGCAGACGGCGAATTCTCTCACACCAGAAGCGACTTGCAGTTTCTCAAATCGCTCCTGACATGACAAAAAAACTGCCCCATTTCACTCACGGAGCCCCACTGGAAGTTGTCCTATGTTGTTTGATGGGCAGCATGGGTCTCCATGGGCAAACCGGGGCAAAGTGTCCTAGGATGCTTGAGTTGCCCCTTGTGACAAGGCTGTGAGTAATTTCCACCTATTATGGTGTTTTCTTGGCAATATTAGTTCAGAGGTCACTCAATGAGGCAAAGAGAACATTGGACTATCTCTCTAATGACCAGGATTCGATTCCCTGCTTGGCCATGGAAGCAAACTGGGAGAATCAGACATTCTGAGCCTTAGAAAACCCAACAATAAGTCTGGCTTCTGGTTGCCAGAAGAGATAAATGAACTGAAGGGAAATAACAACACTTTTAGAAGCAGCTTTTCTATTTTGTATCCTGGATTGGTAGCACTGTTTTATATATTTATTTATTTTATTATTTATTTGCATTATTTATACCCCGCTCATATCAGTCCGGAGGCGACTCAGAGCGGCGTACACAATCGGCACAATTCGATGCCATAAAATACATACAATGATAAGCAAAAGAACCATTATAGTACAATTAGACATAAGACAGTGCATAATAACAATATTAAAAGCTAAAAACTATATCCTCTCATTCAAGTCCTTATCCGTATATGTAGACCCATATAATGCAGTTTAACAACACTGAACTTCATTATAAGGATTTATCCTGACCACATAATACAGCTCAAAACTGAATTATATGATAGTGGAGATCAAACCAAGATACCAAAATGTGATTGCCCAAACATTGTTTGCTCCCCACTCTCCTTCCCAAACTTTCTTTCCCAAGGATTTCACATCTCCGGCTTCACAAAAGAGCTTTTTGGGCAAGAAAACACCCTTGCACCCTGCCAGGCAGCTAGACAAGCATTTCGGCTTTCAGCCCAGTTCCCCTCACCCTATATATAGAAGATTATCTTGGCAGCAAAACAGCACACACGCACCATCATCACTGAAAAGACCCTTCAGAAGATAATTTGTTTTTTTGTAGACTGCAAGCCAAAGAGCTGACGTGTTGTTAAAGAATCCAATCCTTCCTCCCTTGGGGTCACTTTTGACTGGCCTTCCCTCTTTTGCTGATATTTACCATCTTGCCATCCAACAGCTCCTGGGAACTGGCAAGAAAAAGCCTTCTGAACAGACTGGCTCTCCAAATGCCAGGGTGGCCCCTTCATAGAGCTCTGCAAACACAATTCACATGCAGCGCTAGGCTGATTCTCTTATGAGATTGGGTAGTGATGGACCCTTCAAGTTAGAAGGGACCTCAATGATCCTTTTGTCCAACTGCCAGTTAAGGAAATTAATTGTAAAAGCACCCTGAGAGATGACCACCCAGCTTTGGTGTCCAAACCTTTCATGACGGACAGTTGAAGACAAATCTTCTCCATGTCAAATGATTTATATCATCAAGGCATTCTTTCGACTGTTTAATCTAACTATACCTTTTAACATTTTATCTCATACATCTCGTCTGCCCTTTGTGTATGATTTTACTAGCACAATTTTACGAGCACAATTCACGGTGCTGGTTTTGACCTACAAAACCCTATACGGTTCCGGTCCAGTGTATCTGTCCGAACGCATCTCCCTCTACGTCCCACCCCGGAGTTTGAGATCATCTGGGGAGGCCCTGCTCTCGACCCCACCGCTATCACAAGTGAGGTTGGTGGGGACGAAGAGCAGGACCTTCTCAGTGGTGGCCCCTCACCTGTGGAACTCACTCCTGGGGGAAATTAGGGCATCAACATCCTTCCTCTCCTTCAGGAGGAAAGTAAAGACGTGGTTGTGGGACCAGGCCTTTGGGCAATCTGACAACTAGATAAGGACAATCAGACGATCAGGACTGACAGGACTGGCAATGTGGAATTGGAATTTGGACTATGAGATAGCGAACGCTGACCATCAATGAGGAGTAATTGGGTTTGTATTGGTTTTATTGGTTTTATTGTTGTAATGCAGGAACTGTTGTTTAATTGTTAATTGCTGCTATTTGTTTACTACTGTTATATGATGCCGGCATCGAATTGTGCCTTTGTAAGCCGCCCTGAGTCCCCTTCGGGGTGAGAAGGGCGGGGTAGAAGTAACCGAAATAATAATAATAATGTTATTTTATACTGTTTATTTTATTTGTTATTTCATATACTTTGTTATGATGTATTTTTTTGAGGTTTTGTGTCTAATTATGTTGTTTTATTGTTGGCCTTGGCCTCATGTTAACCACCCCGAGTCCCCTTTGGGGAGATGATGGCGGGTTATAAATAAAGATTATTATTATTATTATTATTATTATTATTATTATTATTATTATTATTATTATTATTATGTTAATTTTGTTATTTTATGTTAATATGATATTATTGTTATTGTTCGTGTTTTCGGTTTGTGTTTTGGTTTTTTCTTTATTGTAATTGTTATTTGGGCTTGGCCTCATGTAAGCCGCTCTGAGTCCCCATCCGGGAGATGGTGGCAGGGTATAAATAAAGTTTATTATTATATTATTATTATTATTATTATTATTATTATTATTATTATTATTATTATCATCTTTTGGTGATTTCAACCTATTGTTTCAGTGTTGTTTTCCATTTCACGTAAAGAGCATTTTCTCCTATTATTTATATCAATGGTTCCCAACCTGTGGTCCGTGGACCACCAGTGGTCTGCACGAACTAAAATACGGTCTGCGGCCTCACCATTACAACAAGAATGACTCATCTTGCAAAACCCTCTTATAGTTCCAAGGGCTATTAAATATGATTTTTGTGATGATGAGCAGATGGGGACTATTCGATAGCATATGTTATGTATCAGAAACTAGAGCTGATGTGGTCTATCCAATGCAATTTTCTGAATCTGCACCCCCAAATAACCAAACCAAATCTAAAATTGACCAAAAACTGATTCGTAACCCTTTTGGTACTAATGCAGGAGAGTGGTCCCTGGTCAAAAATAGGTTGGAAACCACTGATTTATATTGCTTCCCTTTGGAAATGTGAAGGTGGAAACCTGTTGCCTCTAAATTACATCTTCCTGGTGGAGCCCCGGTGGTGCAGTGGGTTAAACCCTTGTGCTGGCAGGACTGAAGACTGACAGGTCTCAGATTCGAATCAGGGGAGAGTGCGGATGAGCTCCCTCTGTCAGCTCCAGCTCCTCCTGCGGGGACATGAGAGAAGCCTCCCACAAGGATGATAACACATCAAAAAATATCCAGGCATCCCCTGGGCAATGTCCTTGCAGACAGCCAATTCTCTCACACCAGAAGTGACTTGCAGTTTCTCAAGTTGCCCGTGACATGACAAAAAAAAAACCCATCTTCCTGAGGCTTAAACAATATTTAAAAATTTATTTTATATTTATTTGTCATGTCAGAGCAACCAATTCACTATATTACATTTCTAACAGAACAAAGCAAACAAAACAGACAAATACAAAACTTGTGAGTTTGGTAGTTGGTTAAATGTCCTTTGACCAATATCTGGCCACTTGGAGTGCTTCTGGTGTTGCTGCAAGGAGGTCCTCCATGGTGCATGTGGCAGGGCTCAGGTTGCATTGCAGCAGGTGGTCAGTGGTTTGCTCTTCTCCACACTCACATGTCGAGGATTCCACTTTGTGGCCCCATTTCTGAAGGTTGGCTCTGCATCTCGTGGTGCCAGAGCGCAGTCTGTTGAGCGCCTTCCAAGTTGCCCAGTCCTCTGTGTGCCCAGGGGGGAGTCTCTCATTTGGTGTCAGCCATTGGTTGAGGTGCTGGGTTTGAGCCTGCCACTTTTGGACTCTCACTTGCTGAGGTGCTCCAGGGAGTGTCTCTGTAGATCTTAGAAAACTATTTCTAGATTTAAGTCGTTGACGTGCTGGCTGATACCCAAACGGGATGAGCTGGAGATGTCTCTGCCTTGGTCCTTTTAGGCCTGTGCGGTTTCGTTCGTTAATTTCGTTATTCGTAAAACATTCGTTATTTTTAGCATTTACGAAGCGATATCAAAACATTTTTTCAAACCCGGAAGGGTTTTAAAATAACGAAGCGGCATCCCCCATCCTTTTAACGAGCTTCCGCCCGTTTCGGAAATTGGATGGAGGATGCTGGTGCCTGGGAGCCAATCCGGCGCTCCCAAGCAGTGCACCGTGGCTGTTTGTTTTTGATTGGCCGGCGAGCCCTTTCAAAGTGGCTCCGCGCGGCCGTAGCTCATTGCTGCAGAGGGCGAGGGAGAGAGAAGAGGTTGGCTTGGCAATGGCTAGCAACTGGATTGGATTCATTCCTTGCTTGGATTCATTCCTTGCTGCTGTGAGTGCTGCTTATATTCCTTGCTTGGATTCATTACTTCCTTCGGTTTTTGTGAATTTGTTTCTTAATTTTTTGGTTAATTTTCCATTTTTAAATATTTTTAATATTATTTTTTAATATTATTTTTTAATATTATTTTAATATTATTCTTAAAAAATATTCTAAAAAAGAAAAGACTCTTCTGTTGGTGTGTGCTCTCATTTGCTGTCTCCTGCCTGTGTTTGGTCCACATTTGGGCCATTTTTTGGTTAATTTTCCATTTTAAAATATTTTTTAATATTATTTTAATATTATTTTTTAATATTATTTTAATTTTTTTAATATTATTCTTAAAAAATATTCTAAAAAAGAAAAGACTCTTCTGTTGGTGTGTGCTCTCATTTGCTGTCTCCTGCCTGTGTTTGGTCCACATTTGGGCCATTTTTTGGTTAATTTTCCATTTTTAAATATTTTTCAATATTATTTTAATATTATTCTTAAAAAATACAAAAAATATTCTAAAAATTCGTTAATATTTACGAAATTTCGTAAATACCAAAACTTTTTTGGGGGAAAATTTTGTAATTATTTTAAATATCGAAACAAAAAAACACCCCAATTACAAATCGATTTTAGAAACAAATTTTTTCTTGATCAACCAGGCTTAGGTTCTTTCACTATTGGCTGCTACTTCCCGGCGGATGTCAGGTGGTGCAATACCGGCTAAGCAGTGTAATTTCTCCAGTGGTGTAAGGCGCAGACACCCCGTGATAATGCAGCATGTCTCATTCAGAGCCATATCCACTGTTTTAATGTGGTGAGATGTGTTCCACACTGGGCATGCATACTCAGCAGCAGAGTAGCACAGCGCAAGGGCAGATGTCTTCACTGTATCTGGTTGTGATCCCCAGGTTGTGCCAGTCAGCTTTCGTATGATATTGTTTCTAGCACCCACTTTTTGCTTGATGTTCAGGCAGTGCTTCTTGTAGAGTGACTCCCAGGTATTTGGGTGTGCTGCAATGCTCCAGTGGGATTCCTTCCCAGGTGATCTTCAGAGCTCCGGATGCTTCTCTGTTCTTGAGATGAAAGGCACATGTCTGTGTTTTAGATGGGTTGGGGATCAGCTGGTTTTCCCTGTAGTATTTATTATTTATTTATTTATTTATTATTTACTGTCCTTCTCAGCCTAACTGGCGACTCAACGCAGTTTACAACAAAATATACAGTACACAGTATACAATTAAAACCATAAAAAACATAATACACAATATTACACGTAAATCACAATCCAATACATCTCCTAACTAAAATCGTGGTCCAATTGCATCATCCATATTACCAATCCGTAGTCGACACATTCATTGCACCGAATTAACCAGGCAGTAAGAGCACTCAGAGCTTCGGAGTGCTTCTGTTCTACCATCTCAAAGCTCCCTGCTTGAGCAGTGATGGCACGATCATCAGCATAGATGAAACTCTCTGTCACTTCTGGCAGTGGCTGATCATTTGTGTAGATGTTGAACATGGATGGAGCAAGCACGCTCCCCTGAGGCAGGCCATTCTTCTGTTTCCGCCATCTGCTTCTCTGGCCCTGGAACTCAACAGAAAAGCTCCTGTTTTGTTATTTTTTTAAAAAAGAATGCTTATTTAATACACTTCTCATTCTGCCTTTTAAAAAAAACCAACAACAAAGCAGAGCAAAAGAAAGCTTGTAAAGTGATAAATCTCTGGGAATGAGGGGGAGAAATCCTGCTTGTCATTGATTTGGAAACATTGCAGGGAGTGCAATATGGTGTCCGAACATGAACGGCAATATCAGATAGGATGAGGGATTCTATCTTAACCCTTCTTTGCTAAGATTTTGGGTGTCTGCAGCAAATGGTGGTGTTATTTTAAGATTGTTGTTATGGATATATTCTTGGGCACAGGTGTTCCTAATGAGCGGTTTTGACATTCATGGATTCCTTTTCTTTCCCCCCTTTCTTCCAGGGTCATCAAACATGGTTACTGGGGAAACCAAAAGTTTCTTCAGCTTTGCAAAATCAGTAAGTGCACAAACTTTTTGGCTCTGCTAGACACAGCTTATCTGTACATGTCTTGATGTTTGCCAGGCTCCCGGCTCGCTTTACGTCTGCCACATTCTCCATTCTCTCTTTTCCCTTTTATTTTAGTACAATAGATTTTTTCACAAACCATGAAACAATATAGACAGTACACAACAAGGCTTGTAAATGTGACTGCTCCCAGAATCTTCAAGTACTTGTCAAGCTTTCTAGGTGATTCTGTGGACTTTATCACACAACCTTCTTATGCCAAAATAGCCATGTTAGTGTAGATCAGTGGTTCTCAAGCTGTAGGTCCCCAGATGGTTTGGCCTTCTACTCCCAGTAATACTAACAGCTGGTAAACTGGATGGGATTTCTGGGAGTTGTAGGCCAAAAACATCTGGGGACCCCAGGTTGAGAACCACTGTTCTAGGTGATTCTGTGGACTTTATCACACGACCTTCTTATGCCAAAATAGTCATGTTAGTGTAGATCAGTGGTTCTCAAGCTGTAGGTCCTCAGATGGTTTGACCTTCTGCTCCCAGAAATATTAACAGCTGGTAAACTGGCTGGGATTTCTGGGAGTTGTAGGCCAAAAACATCTGGGGACCCCAGGTTGAGAACCACTGTTCTAGGTGATTCTGTGGACTTTATCACACGACCTTCTTATGCCAAAATAGTCATGTTAGTGTAGATCAGTGGTTCTCAAGCTGTAGGTCCTCAGATGGTTTGGCCTTCTGCTCCCAGAAATACTAACAGCTGGTAAACTGGCTGAGATTTCTGGGAGTTGTAGGCCAAAAACATCTGGGGACCCCAGGTTGAGAACCACTGTTCTTATTTATTACTGTTATTATTAGGAAATGTTTTGCATTTCTCTCCCTTTTTTTTTTTTTTTTTTTTTTTTTTTTTATCTGGGGACCCCAGGTTGAGAACCACTGTTCTAGGTGATTCTGTGGACTTTATCACACGACCTTCTTATGCCAAAATAGTCATGTTAGTGTAGATCAGTGGTTCTCAAGCTGTAGGTCCTCAGATGGTTTGACCTTCTGCTCCCAGAAATATTAACAGCTGGTAAACTGGCTGGGATTTCTGGGAGTTGTAGGCCAAAAACATCTGGGGACCCCAGGTTGAGAACCACTGTTCTAGGTGATTCTGTGGACTTTATCACACGACCTTCTTATGCCAAAATAGTCATGTTAGTGTAGATCAGTGGTTCTCAAGCTGTAGGTCCTCAGATGGTTTGGCCTTCTGCTCCCAGAAATACTAACAGCTGGTAAACTGGCTGAGATTTCTGGGAGTTGTAGGCCAAAAACATCTGGGGACCCCAGGTTGAGAACCACTGTTCTAGGTGATTCTGTGGACTTTATCACACGACCTTCTTATGCCAAAATAGTCATGTTAGTGTAGATCAGTGGTTCTCAAGCTGTAGGTCCTCAGATGGTTTGACCTTCTGCTCCCAGAAATATTAACAGCTGGTAAACTGGCTGGGATTTCTGGGAGTTGTAGGCCAAAAACATCTGGGGACCCCAGGTTGAGAACCACTGTTCTAGGTGATTCTGTGGACTTTATCACACGACCTTCTTATGCCAAAATAGTCATGTTAGTGTAGATCAGTGGTTCTCAAGCTGTAGGTCCTCAGATGGTTTGGCCTTCTGCTCCCAGAAATACTAACAGCTGGTAAACTGGCTGGGATTTCTGGGAGTTGTAGGCCAAAAACATCTGGGGACCCCAGGTTGAGAACCACTGTTCTAGGTGATTCTGTGGACTTTATCACACGACCTTCTTATGCCAAAATAGTCATGTTAGTGTAGATCAGTGGTTCTCAAGCTGTAGGTCCTCAGATGGTTTGGCCTTCTGCTCCCAGAAATACTAACAGCTGGTAAACTGGCTGGGATTTCTGGGAGTTGTAGGCCAAAAACATCTGGGGACCCCAGGTTGAGAACCACTGTTCTAGGTGATTCTGTGGACTTTATCACACGACCTTCTTATGCCAAAATAGTCATGTTAGTGTAGATCAGTGGTTCTCAAGCTGTAGGTCCTCAGATGGTTTGACCTTCTGCTCCCAGAAATATTAACAGCTGGTAAACTGGCTGGGATTTCTGGGAGTTGTAGGCCAAAAACATCTGGGGACCCCAGGTTGAGAACCACTGTTCTAGGTGATTCTGAGGACTTTATCACACGACCTTCTTATGCCAAAATAGCCATGTTAGTGTAGATCAGTGGTTCTCAAGCTGTAGGTCCTCAGATGGTTTGACCTTCTGCTCCCAGAAATATTAACAGCTGGTAAACTGGCTGGGATTTCTGGGAGTTGTAGGCCAAAAACATCTGGGGACCCCAGGTTGAGAACCACTGTTCTAGGTGATTCTGTGGACTTTATCACACGACCTTCTTATGCCAAAATAGTCATGTTAGTGTAGATCAGTGGTTCTCAAGCTGTAGGTCCTCAGATGGTTTGACCTTCTGCTCCCAGAAATATTAACAGCTGGTAAACTGGCTGGGATTTCTGGGAGTTGTAGGCCAAAAACATCTGGGGACCCCAGGTTGAGAACCACTGTTCTAGGTGATTCTGAGGACTTTATCACACAACCTTCTTATGCCAAAATAGTCATGTTAGTGTAGATCAGTGGTTCTCAAGCTGTAGGTCCCCAGATGGTTTGGCCTTCTACTCCCAGAAATACTAACAGCTGGTAAACTGGCTGAGATTTCTGGGAGTTGTAGGTCAAAACACCTGAGGACCTACAGGTTGACAACCACTCCTGTACATAATGCATAATGAGGAGAGTACTTTTGATATTTTACCTCTCTTCATTAAGCACAATTGTGCCAGTTCGCTAATCCATGGTTCCAGGATCAGACTTTTTCACACCCTCGTAACCCACCTTCTTGCACAGTTCCCTACCCAGTATACCTTTCATCTTATTTATATTATTATTTTAGTGCAATTGTGCATTTCTAGTATTTAAAATTGGCAAAGATCTATACCATACCCAGAATGACATGACACCAAAGCAAAAGTAACCAACATAAGCCATGTCAAGCCCACTGTCCACTGCAACAATAAGAACTTGATAGTGATGGCAAGAGTGACTGTTTGAGGGCATCAAGCTGGGTTTGGCACTGCAGGACAGTAAGGACTTTCTCCTGCCTCTGCAGCAGGAGATGTGTGGTGGGTGGAGTGGTGGTCAAAACCATTCTGGAGCAGATTTGGCATTTAACACTCCCTATCAGACCCAGGATAAGTGGTCAGTATAGATCTACCTCCAGTTTACGTAATTCATTTTCATTTGGCACTTAAAATATATACACAAATAATGAGATTCTGGAGGGAGGCATTTTATGCTCTTATTCACACCTATTCAGAGTCTGGATCCGTGCCAGAACAGGAGTGTTAACATTTCCATATGTTTCCTTGCACCAGCTCCCCAACAACACCAAGCATTTTCTGCTCTGGGAATTTTCTTTTAAGTCATTCATTCCTTTGCTAATTATGTGAGTTGTGTATCCTCTCATTACTGTTGGCATTTTTAGTCCTTTCCACCAATAAACCAAGGCCCTTTTTTCTGTTAATCATCCCTGTTCAGATTGTCATTGCTCTTTAGATCTTTGTTGTGCTATATGTGAAGTTCAAAAAGCTGTTTTATGTCAGTTAACTTGCTTCTAATCCTGTTGCCATTTCTTTGCCTGTAGTGGTGGCAAGTAGAGAAAGTGAACCCTATCAAGCTCTACGAAGAAAACAAAGTCATGGCTGGGTTTTCCCTCTTAAATCTGCTTTTCAAACAAAACCGAAGCGGGCTGATACATAATGTCATGGACAAACTACTAAAACTCTACAATGAAAAGAAGATCAAACCTCGAGTTGATTCACTCTGGGCACTGGAAGAGGTAGGAGAACTGGAGATATTTTCCCCCTTCTTTTCCTTGTCTTAATGAATTTTTACTTAATAAATACTCCAGAAGACAGGAGCAGAATTCAAAACAATGTTATCAGATTAGAGATATGGGCTGAAATTAAGAAAATGAAGTTCAACAGTGACAAATGCAAGATACTCCACTTAGCAGAAAAAAAATGAAATGCAAAAATACAGAGACTGGGCAACCCAGACTCTTAATTACATGTAGAATCATAGAATCAAAGAGTTGGAAGAGACCTCATGGACCATCCAATCCAACCCCCTGCCAAGAACCAGGAACATTGCATGTAAAGCACCCCTGACAGATGGCCATCCAGCCTCTGTTTAAAAGCTTCCAAAGAAGGAGCCTCCACCACACTCCGGGGCAGAGAGTTCCACTGCTGAACAGCTTTGACAGAGAGCTGTTGAAGAGTAGCAGCAATGTCTAGTTGTGCGGTTACTCTCCGAAGGTGCAGCGGAAGAGCCAGGTTTTAAGGTCCTTCTTAAAGGTATCTAAGGAGGGGGCTTGCCTAATCTCACCGGGCAATGAATTCCAAAGTTGAGGGGCCACAGCGGAGAAGGCTCTCTCCCTTGTTCCCACAAGAATCATAGAATCAAAGAGTTGGAAGAGACCTCATGGGCCATCCAGTCCAACCCCCTGCCAAGAAGAAGGAATGTTGCATTCAAATCACCCCTGACAGATGACCAGGCATGTAGCCGGGGGGGGGGGCCTCGGGGGGCTTCTCATGGTGGTTCGCGAAAAGGCCTTACGGGTGCATTATTTAAACTGTTATGTTTATTCATATCATGATCTGATCACCATACTCAATATATCCCATATGCATGGGGGTATTGGGGTAATGATACAAAAGGTTTGCTAGGCTAGACCCTCTTTCACTCAGACTCAGCCCCCCCCAAACCCAGCCCCCCCCCCCAAAACCCCCCTGAAAAAAATTCCCCCCCCCCCCCCCGAAACGAAATCCTGGCTACGGGCCTGGAGATGGCTGTAAAGATCCCTTACCTACTTGGCTATCTTGGCAGGGCCCAGAAAGGAGCAGGCTGGGAGGTTTCAGTTAGGAAAGGCCTGGCAGTAAGTTGTTGGAGCCATTTTGGAGCAGGGAAAAACTCCAAGCCAGTAGGGGGAGTGGCTGAAGCCTGGGCCAGCCCAGCAACAGCAGGGATTGGTTTAAAGGTTAGGGGCGGAGATAGTCTTTTGGAGGGAAAAGGAGAGAAGAGATAACTTTAGTTTAGTTCAGCTTTGGGAGTTAGAGAGTTCAGCTCAGGGAGTTAGAGAGTTCAGTTCTGTTAGTGAGTAGTGCAGTTTAGTTCTGAAGAAGAGAATAGAGAATAGAATTGCAGTTGTTAGAAGTCTCTGTGTAATATAGGCAGATTGCCTAGGGTCTGTACAGTACTGTTAGCTGTGACAGACTGGTGTCAGCTATTTCTGAAGAATATAGAATAGCTGGGTGTTTATATTTTGAGTAACTGTAACAAAGATAGACCATTTCTCTCACGAAACCATTACGATTCAAGCAACAGGAACACTTTCTCTGTAACCATTCAAGCTTCTGTACCAGCATTCTGCTTGTTAAAGATAACTTGTAAACAATAAACTCTTTCTTATTCTTTTTAAAACAAAAGCCTGTCTCAAGCACCATTATTTTTGGTTTTGAGTCCCTTTCTTAGTGCAAACAGCCTCTCCTGTTTTCCCTTTAGGAAGCCCTTGTTCATATACTAAATGGTGGAGTAAAAAAGCCTTTTGATTATTTTAAAACAACCTGATACCCTTAATAGCAACTAAGAGGGTTTGTGATTTATTTAATCTGGTGGCAGCGAAGATATTTGGTTTGGTCAGCGTGACACCTCTCCTCAGACCATATTAGACTCGAAGTGGGGATTTTGAATTCCTTTATTCCTGTCAGAAAGGACCAGAGAGTGGTGGGATTATTTTGCCCCTGCCTTTCTTGAAGGGTCTTTATATTGGTTTGCAGCGGTGTGGATTCGTGTAACACCTCAATCCAGGGCATTTGTGTGTAAATCCTGAGGTAAAATTTTGTCAAAACGTGACACCAAGGATTACCTCAGAGAGAGAACACCTCTACCACCATTTTACAACACCTTAAGCCATGGCACCACCAAAGACAAAGAAGGGCACCCCTGAAGTTCCAGAGAGAGAAGGGGAAACTACTGCTTCAGTAGTTGAGGGTTCTGTAGTTGAGGGGACTGAAACCCAAGTACCAGAGGGTAGACAAGAACAGATAGCTACCTCTTTGGCCATTGAAAAGCTTAGGCTGGAAATGAAGTTGAGAGAACTTGAGTTTCAAGAAAGGGAGAGGGAAAGAAAGATGGAATTGGAAAGAGAGAAGATGCAGGCTGAAGAGAGGCAGAGGATGGCTGAGTTGGAGAGGGAGAGACTACAAGTTGAGATAGAAAGAGAGAGAGAAAGAGAACGTTTGAGACATGAAGAGAGAATGGCAGAACTACAATTTAGAGAACATGAGAGAACTCCTAACTTAGGCCAACAGCAAGACTCTAACATGCAAAGGGTGTTAAAGAACTTTCCCCGATATGTAAAAGGGGATTGCGTCGAGGCATTTCTCGCAGCCTTTGAACGGTCTGCTCACGATTTTCAGGTACCTGAAGATAGAATGATGGTGTACCTGAGGCCCCTGCTTTGTGGGGAACTTAATGAGGTTTATGCTGATCTGCGAGAGACAGAGAGCGGGAATTACCTCATATTTAAGGAAAGGGTGAAGCTGAGGTTTGGCTTGACTCCTGAACAAAGTAGAAAGATGTTCAGGGAGATCAAAAGGAAGCCAGGAGAAACCTTTTCACAACTGGGAAGCCGAATGGAAAAAGCCTTAGATAGATGGCTGGAAGGGAGTAAAACAACCACTTTTGAGGAGTTAAAACACTTAGTTGGTATGGAGCAGTTTTATCGACTGATTCCCATTCAAATGAGGTGGTTTGTTAGGGACAAGAAGATTAAACAAGTGTCAGATCTCGCGGCTTGGTTGGATGAGATGGAGCATGACTGGAATGTGAGTCATGGCTCAGGAGCCACCAAGAGACCGAGGGAATGGGTTCCAAAGGAGAAAACTGACGTAGGAAACCAAAATCCTGTCAGGAGGGACCGCATTCCAGAGATTGGCACAGGAAAACTTGTCTGCTACTTCTGCCATCAAGAGGGTCATAAGAAAACGGCTTGTCCCAAATTAAACACCCAGAAAAGGCCAGTTACACCACCAAAGCCAGTTAAGGTGGTTAGGCAAATATCTCCACACGAAGAAAGTCAGTCTCCACATGCACAGGAAGAGCCTGTGAAGATAATGCGTGTATGGAGTACTGAGAAAGAGTCAAATGGAGATTATTTGAGGGTGATCAAAGTAAAGGGTCAAGAACTAATGGGATTCAGAGACACTGGGTCTGAAGTATCGCTCATTAGGCCAGAGTTTGTCAAGGCAGACCAGATACTTCAAGGCCAAAAATACAAGCTGAGAGGAATTTATGGCCCTGTGTTCGAAGTGTCAGTGGCTGAAATCCCAATAGAATATAAGAACTTCACTGGAAAATGGAGAATGGGATTGTTTAAGGATCTAGAAGTGCCAGTACTGTTGGGAAATGATCTGGCCGAGAGGTGTAGAAATGTTAATATTATCACCAGAAGCCAAACTGATCGAAGAAGGGAGGCTGAATACACTGTTTCAGAGGAACAGCCATCTACCTCACAAACTGAAAATGTCAGCCAGGAAATTCCCTTCAGTTTGAGCCAAAACCATATGAGGCAATTTGAGGCAGCTCAACAAAGTGACGAAAGCCTAAAACCCTTATGGGATGAAGTGGACCCTGAACACCACACTCCCACAATTGAGAATCCAGTGTTGTTGAAGGTTGTGGAAAATAAACTGTACCGAGTTGTGAGGAGACAGAAAGGTCCCAAATTCTTTGAGGAGAAAACACAACTGGTAGTTCCACAAAAGTATAGGGCTAAAATACTCAAGCTAGCCCATGATACCACATTCAGTGGACATTTAGGGATCAAGAAAACTAAAGATCGCATCCAGTCAAGATTCTTTTGGCCAGGAATGGGAGGTGATGTGACAGCCTATTGCAAATCCTGTGAGACTTGTCAAATGGTGGGAAAAGCCAAGGACAAGACAAAAGGACTGTTACAATCCATTCCAGTTGTCACCGTTCCCTTTGACAAGGTCGGAGTAGACATCATCGGCCCTATGTCCCACAAGACGCTTGATGGACATAGATTTATTTTGACTGCCGTGGACTTTGCCACACGTTATCCAGAGGCAATTCCACTGAAAGAAACGGATGCCAAAACAGTGGCAGACGCGCTGCTCAATCTATTCGCACGCGTGGGCTTCCCCAGATCTATCATCACAGATCTTGGAGCCACCTTCATGTCCCAGATGATGCAGGAGCTGTTCCGGACCTGCAAGATCAAGCATCTTACTTCCACACCATACCATCCTCAAACCAACGGCTTGACGGAAAGATTCAACGGTACCCTCAGCCACGTGCTGAAGGCGTACGTCCACGAGAACCCGAATGGCTGGGACAAGAAACTACAACCCTTCTTGTTTGCTTATCGGGAGGTTCCACAAGCCAGCACCAAGTTCAGCCCATTTGAACTGCTATATGGGAGAACACCAAGAGGACCCATGGACATTTTGAAGGAAGCATGGACAGGAGCAGAGGACATTCCGGAGAGTGATATCAACAGCTACATCGAGGACTTGAGAGAACATTTGACCACCATGAGAGACTGCGCAGCTGAGAGTTTGACAACGGCCCAGCTGAAGCAGAAGGAACAGGCGGATCTACACGCGAGACATCGTTGCTTTGATGTAGGAGACAAGGTCCTGGTTTTGAAACCCAGGTCCAAGAAGAAACTGGAGGTTTCTTGGGAGGAACCTTGTGTGATAGGGTCAAAGACTGCAAGCGAGTGTAATACTGAAAAGGATGGACTGGCCGGCT